CAGTATTCAGATAAAGTAAAAGTTGAAGAGAATACTGTAGACGCTTTAGCCAGTGATTTTTTTTTTTTACCTTACAAATACAGGGCATAGAATATATTGCAATTTAAATACATAAGTTTTAGTGTTTCTTAGGAAACCTGTGCATTTATCAAGATAGCAAAAGTGTGATTGGGTTTTTTGTTTGGTTTCTGGTTTTGATACGTCTGGAAGATCTTACAATCTGTTGTCAATTGCTACAAGCATAGGTAAGTAGAAACTGCAAAAATCAAAGATTAAAGTACTCAGAGAGATCATACTGGATGATTAGGCAAAAGAAACAAGTTTTAAGAAAGGAATTGAACCAGAAAAACAGAACAAGAGATCACTTGGTGCGTTAACAGCAACAGCAGAAGACAGCTGTTGCCACCATAGTGGGGGCAGTGCAGAGAAACATTAAATCTGCAGTGGGAAATGGGAATCGAAATGCACATGAAAGAAAGAAAAGGTCATTTTGCAAGGAAGCCAACACTCTTTGTACTGAGTCCAGCAAGTTTTCTATGCCTTGAGTATGTGGGTGAAATTAAAGCTACAGCTTAAACCGAAACAGTGGTTTGACGTTACTGAAAAATGGAGAATATCTTCTGCTTTTCTTTGCTTTCTGTCTCATGATTCCTCACCCCATCCTGCTCCTTTAGGCCTCCTTTAACAGGTCCTGGTGCTTCTTCCTTAATAACTGACAAAGCCATAATTGAAAAGCTTTAGCAGAAGGACCCATGGAATAGGGCAGAACGTGCTGTTCATAAGCAGCAATGCACAGAGGTGTTTGTAGGCAGCAAACTGTTGGAGCTGCTCAGCTGTGGCTTGCAACTGCATCCTAAGTATGTGTGAACAGAACATTCAGCAAAGCTTTCATACCTTACATAACTTCTGTGCTAGTCTTCATCCTCATCCACCTATTCGTTGCTCTCGGAAGTTATAAAGTAACTATTCATTTCAAGGCCCATGTTCAAAAACAACCCACACATTTCTAAGTAGTTCTTCTGAATGCACTGAACTTAACTGAAATTCAGTGAGAAAGCTTTAAATGAAATTTACTCTGCTCCAACATTGTTAATTTTAAGAGCAAATTGATTGTTAAAATATTCTAAATCCTGTATTTACAACTTTATTCTGCAACTGTGAAAACCTTTGAATTTTTTATGTAGAAGCATGCTGGTAGTCACTTGGCTGGACTGAAGTTACTTACTTATTCACTAAGCTCAGCTGGTAAAGTATGGTGGTGGTACAAGCTCTTCAGAACATATTGGTCCAAAATTAATGCACCGACTGTGGATGTATTCCCATTTTACCCTTATTTAGTTCTTTTCTGTCTTACGAGATGGATAAATACAAAAAATAACAGCAGATTTTTATGGCAAAATTTTGAATAGAAGCTGAAATTCACAAGGACTTCCCTGTTGCCATCTTTTTTGTTTTTTTAAGAGCCTAAAGAGTGCTGACATCCTCCACCCTGTCTCTCATGTCATTTAACTTGTTCCTGTAGCAATTTGTTTGCGTTTCATTGTTTGCATTGTAAACCTTTCCTTATATATTTGCTGGGTTTTGCTGTCTTTTGCAGCTGTGCTTAGTGATTGTCGTTCAATCTCAGTGTATATAGGTGTTGTGTAAGTACTGGAAAACTCAGTCCTGGATCCTGGAATATTAGATGAATAATAAGTATTAAGCTGGAGATAGCAAAATATATAAGTTTTTGGAGTAGTGTACTAATATGAAACCTCTACTGGAGAATGAAAATGCTCAGAAAGAGATTCGTGGCCACCTTTGCTTTATAAAACGTAATCTATATCTTACATGGATAAGGAAGTAGGAAATGGAATAATTTAGAATGAGTCACAAGCAACTGATAAATTGAAAGCAAACAGCTGAAAAGATTGGGAAAATGGCATTAGTGGCAAGATGTGTGACCTAATTGGCTGCAGAGGTATAATGGAAAAAATGTAGACAGATGAAGTTTTTAGGTTGAAGTACAGAGATACTAAGTTTTGTGTACAAAGGGTGGATGTTGTTCCAGGAGAGGGAATGGCAGTTTTGAGCGTGAGGTAGAGAGATTTTTAAAGTCAATTGAGATAACGATGAACGCAGAAAAAAATAATCCTTAAGATGGAAATAAAATAAAATGGCATTAAAAGAAAAGGATGAAAGATCAGTACTGGTGGATTGAGAGCAAGTGATCAAGAAGCAGAGGAAGAAAAGCAATGCCATTACTTGCAAAACAAGAAACGGTGTTCAGTGAAGATGTGGCCTGGCAAATGGTTATTTTGGAGAATATTAGATCCAATTAGGATCAGATGTGAATAGGTGAGACCCAAGAAACAACTGACAATTTATCATCTGACATGAAGATCCAAACTTGAGCAAGATGATCTTGAAGCACTTGAAGAACTTGAGCAGTGTGGGGAGCTACTCCACAGAGAGAGGAATGAGGGAACAGTTGAAAGGTTGCTCATTTGTTCTTATCATTTGCTGTGTTGCTTGCATTCATTTCATTTTATTCGGAGACTCAAGAAAGTGTGTTTTCACATTTCACTCCTGCCTATTGTAATAAAAAACTGGAATTGGAATGCGTGCATCTGAAGCTTTTCATTCTATGTGCAAAGACAACTACACTGAAACAGAAACATGCAAGACAAAAATAGAAATGTGTAAGACAAATTTTATTTTTAATTTGATTTAGCTGAATTCAAAAAATCAATGACATTAACTTTGAGATTTTATTAAGATTTGCTGCTCTAGAAATTTACTCTTGATATGGCTGTTACAGGAGAGATGTGATGCAATAAACATTAATTCTGGATTTTTTTGAGCAAAGACTACCAGTGTTACAAAGAAAAGATTCATGTCCTGAAAGCATCCTGAAAAGACCAGTGTGCATTGCTACATTTTCAGTCATGCATATATGCCATTTAGTTTTCCAGTTTTGGAGAAATCCACATATCAAGCACCTGACAGTTCACCAATTTATTCTTGAAGAGTAAGCTCTTTTATGTTAGATCAAAGCTTTGGCAAAGAATTTTAAGAAAACTTGCAATTGCATCTTTCTCTACTCTTTTGGGAAATAATATGAAACTATTTCCAGCTGTTCAAGTTTCTTGTATTACACTGAAAGAGCTAAAGGTATTTTAACCACTTCTAGTGTCTAGCTTACCTTCTAACATTTTGACACTGGTATAGGTTGTGTTGTCAGTGATGGGAGGTTACTTCATACACTGTTGAGTGTTTATCCTGGGACTAACAGTATTGCAAACTCTGTGGATTTTTTGGTTAGACATCTGCTTGTCTATTTTTTTTTCTTCCTTTTGGATAATCAGTGTCTCTGAAACTCTTTATATGAGGAAATCAATAGTGCTGCAAGCAGTAGCACAGGTACTCTGAAAAAAGGAAGTTTCATGGTGGAATTTCATGGTTCTCAGTCTTTGACTGCAGTGAAACTAAAAGACACAAATCTGTTATGCTTTATTCAGTCATGTTGAAAACCTGTTCTACAGTTACTGCAGACTTTCTGTAGTAGGGCTGAATCTGTTGTTCTGGAAACATAGCTGTGGCCACAGACACACCATGTAAATAGGGAGACTTTACCATGAGGAATGTGGTGGTCTGTATCTGGTCTTTGAAAAATGCGTGTTTATTGATAGTCAGGCTGATGCAGAAACAGACTTTTTTAAGATCCAACTTTCCACAACAGAAAAAAACTTAGATGGTAGATTTTTCTTTCTGTATCTTACAATGAAATATTTTACTGCTGTAGCTTGTTTACTCTGTTACATGCATGCTGCACCATAAGACAGTTCCTGGGTATTGGAATTGTTGACAAACTTTGAATCACTGAGTGTTCTTTCGTTTGTGTTCTTGTATATTCCGATGTTGTGAATGAAAGTGAATTAAAAGTTATATACTTGATATTTTTTTTCAAAAAATAATTTCTTACAGAATGTTTCCTCTTGATCTGCTGTCTGTCACAGTGTAGTATTAGCATATTAAAGAAATGAAATTATAACTGTTGACCTGAGATGCCATTTGACAATCATAATGTTCAGAAACTTTTTTGTTTTTTCAGTCTATAGTTTATTCTTCTATTTCTCTTTGTTATCAACTCTGCTCTTAAAATTCATTATCCTTAATGTGTACTACCTTCAAATATTCCATCAGATGGAAGTTTTTCCTTTCAGTATTTCTTGATCAAAGTAAAGATGTAGCTATTGTGATCTTCCTTTGAAAATAGTTCACCAGTCTTTTGATAATTTTGGGGATTTTGGTGGATTTGGATTTTTTCCTCTGAATTCTATGTAATTTGTCAGTATCTTTCTGGTAATGGGATGCCTAGGAGAGGATGCAATCTTGCAAATATGTAATTACTTCTCCTCTCATTATTAAGAGGTTATATTCATTATTGCTGCACACAGCAAGTTAGTATCTAAACTGCTATCCACTGTAGTTCTAGGCTTTTTTTCATTTTTACTGCATCACAGATCTTTTTATCTACTGTTTCAGATCTGTGTTTCTAGCATGCATATTGCCAGATGCTGTTCCTTGCATTTCCATTTCCTAATTCTTTTATTGCACTCAACACACATTTCTAAGCTTCCAAAAGCTGATATTTCTCTTGCTCTGGGAGGTTATCAAGGTTATCTTGCTTCTTGAATTTGTTGCCTGTATGACTCTTGGAAAATAATTTTGCTTTAATATATACGCGCTTTGTTCCCTGCAAATATTTAATAACTTCTGATGCTGCCCTGGGAATTGAGTTTTAAGATTCTCCATCTTCTTTTTGTTAGCTTTCCTGGGTTTGAAAAACCCACTCCAGTTATCTTATTAAGTGGTCATCAGCACAGAAGCAGCAGTTGCTATGCGTGCATGAATTCATTGATACTTAAATGTATGTATGTGTGTAAGTAGGCTTATACCTACTTATGTATAGTGCGTTTTCCTTCTCTTCGATTTAAAACAATGCTATTTACCTGCAGGAGGAGGAGGAAGAAACATATGAGCAGACTCTTGAATTCCGCAGAGGAGGCGATGGTCAGCCACGACGGTCCTCAAGACCTACTCAACAATTTTATCAACCCCCAAGAGCTAGAAACTGATTAATAAGGAAAAAAAGGTAAATATGTGATGTTGGCATTTTACTTCTGGATTTCGATTTCAAGAAAAGTACACCTGGATCATTGTACTCTTGAATGTACTTCAGTCTTTGTGAAGTTTGTGAGAGAACTCTGTACAACTTTGTCAGTGGTTGGTTGTATAAGAAACCTCAGCATTGTGTTGTAGATGGTGAATATTTTGAACAAATAAATTACTGTAATCACCAGTTTACAAACAAATAGCCTTTTTTCTAGAAAAGACTTGTTTCTTATTTAAAAAAAGTGTTAAGCAACACCACGTGTATGACCTACTCTGTTCAATAGTGGCAGTCTATTTATAAGGAGCACGTACAGAGCAGTGATTGCAACACCTACAGAAAACTATTGATATTAAATGACTATCTTGCCATTCAAGTGAAAGTTTTATGGTTGTATGTCTTTTTCATTTAGATTCCACTTGTTGCCATCACCTACATGGAAGATATGTTTAACATATTGCTACTGAATTTTTATAGGGATGTTGGTATATTTATGATAGAACTTGAATATCTCTGTTTCTGTAGTTTTTATGGCTGTAGAAAGAAACTTAATTTACCTGTGGGAAGAGGGGATGCGATAAAGAACATTTTGGCAGATAGCTTTTAAACTTTGTTTTATGTAAGGTCTCATGTCATCTGAGCAAGATTTTGCTTTATAATTTTTGACCTGAGAGCAACAGCAAGTTTCTTTTCTTCACATATATTGGACCAGCTTTTTCTCTGAAATAGGTAGCTGCA